GAGGGCCAAGAGGCATTCTAATGTGCTACTGGGTTAAAGTTTAATGTGGCATTTTATAATATTGCCAACTTACCTAGTGATATCTAATGTTTAGGAAAAGGTTACATTCATATAAATCCATAGGGTTTTAAATTTATGGTAAAGCAGACATGGGAAAATGGACTCTTTTGGCACCGTGAAGTATTCAGTGTGCAGCAAAGATTTATAGAAATGTTATAAAAGGCACAGCAGGGACCTAGTACTTCTTGGCTGATAGCATTGCCACTACTATGGTAGTATTTACTGTTTTTCTTACATGCCTGTTGACAAAAGGTGGTCAAATAAAGAAGATCAAAGCAAACCTGCCTTTTTATTTTCAAAGGATCCATATTTCTTTGTGCAGTATTTCTTTGTCTAGCAGCCTCTTGGAAGCTATGCTAATGCTGCAAATGGCAGAATGTTGTGCCTTATTGCCACAGAAGTCATCATTAAGTGGCATCATTCTAGGAAACTGAGGGAGCCCTTTTACTTCAAGAATGGGCACTGCAAAGAACCATCTGGGACCCTTTGTTCCTTAGGAGTTGTTTGACTCCATGTCAGCCTGTGCTGGCTTTGTCATTTGCAAACCATACGAGGTTCTTAAGTTGCATTAAAATATTGCTAAAACTCCTGCTAGAAGCAAATTGCAGCCTGCCTTCGGAAGATGCATTAAATATTTAAAGGATTACTGAAGTCCAGTAGTTTGGAAGAATTAATCATCTCCTCTAATGTAGAAATGTGGAAAAGAAATTTGGCACTTCTGGACCCTACTGAAAAGTAAATAACTTTTCTGAGTATAGAACTTGTAATTTACTAGTGATGGGCCGTTCAATTCAGCAGTAATAATTTCTGTTTTCACCTACGGTCCTTGAATAGTGCAAATCAGGCTCTTTCCCTTTTCAATAATGTTTTTGTAAAGCTCACTAGGCTTTTAGAAAGGTAAATTTTGGGTATGTTTCTCACTAGTTAAGCAGATTTCTCGGATTCGCTCATGGGCTATGCTATTTTCCAATTTTATGGTTACAAAACAAGAGCCTAGGGAGCATATGTGTGATAGAAGCCTGACTCTGTGTGCATGTGTGTGCCTACGTGTGTTTAGTCTTTTATGTAACATTGTGACAGCTAGGCCCAAGTCATGAGCTTACTGCCCTCAGAGATGAGCAAGTTCGCCTCTGTTTTGTATTCACTCACCTCTTGGGCTGGATCCAGGCCAGAGATGCCAGCCAGCCAGGGTAGGAGGACAAAGGGACATAAATTCACTGTGGACTGAGGGGGTGGGGATAGCAGTCGCTCAAGAAGGGCCTGTCGGACTGTTTTATTCACAGTTGCTGAGTGGTACCATTTTTACCTTTTTTTTTTTTTAATAGCAGCCCATTCTAGTGATGGCATCATTTTTACCTATTAATGTGAATACATTTTAGGATTCTACTGCAAACATTTTTTCCTTAATATAAAGCCAGTCTAGTTGTAAAATATGCCCCTTTGCACTAGGCAGTGTCTCATTTTTCTCGTTTGTATAAAGTCTTCATTCATACATAATATATTATTTTAACAATTTAAACAAAACAATTACAAAACTTACGTGGCTATTGCGGGGCCACGTGCCCCATTTTCCATGGGGACTGAATTCAGATTCTGTATCTGCAGGTGACATGCAAGGACAGTTGCGTCACATCTAATTGAAAACAATAGTGCTGGAGAAGAGTTCAGGAATTCAGAGGAGTATTTTACTTCTGGAGATATTTAAATTTAAGGCCTTGCCATCCCCCTTTCCGTATTTGCCTTTGTTTTGGATCAAAGTGTGAAAGGAAAAGGGAATTGGGAGAAGACAGTAGTCCCTGCCCCTACGGGGATCAAACTACAGTATTCCTGAAATGGCCTAAGAGCTAACCCCCAGATCTATTAAAGATTGGATGTGAGCATTTAGGAAGCTAATCTCAAGTGTATTTATATTGTCTTCGATGAAGTGAAAAATGGGTACTTCGTGGGAAGGAAAAAAAATCTTTTTTTATTATTTGATCTTGGGCTGTTTGCTTCCCTGTGACTGGTCACAGCTGTGGCTGTGACACAGCTGGTTGATGTTGGAGTCAGGATTTACAAGGAAGCAGCAGAGAGCATCTTGACGGTAGAGCAAACGGGCTGGGCGTATTAATCCTAACTAGCGACCTAAGTAGCTATTCGACTTTCTCTGAGCCTCAGTTTCCGGATCTGTCAGATGATGCTAACTCATCTCAGGGCTTTCGTGACTTATAAATTTAACATATGTAATTGACCTGACACAGCATCTGACATAAAGTTGAACATGTTCCCAATTGTTGGGTTATTACTCTATTCTTTTACTTTACCCCACACTGTCTCAGGGGTTGTATAAAAGTGGTGACTTCTGGCCTCCTTTGTTTAGGCTCTCATTCCCCCAGTAAATGGTTTTAAGACTAGCTTGTACTCTTTGAAAGAAAAAAAAAAGTAAGTCTTTTTGGTGGTTTTCACACTTGGATACGAATCACAATTCTTCTGGAGACCCCTCAGGCTAAAGAGTGAAGGATCTGTCTTTGTCATTGAAGGGTCTTCCACTTAAGTGAACAGAAAAGGAAAACCATTTGTCTGCTGGGTGCGGTAGGGGAGGACTCCGTTCTGGTCGTCTTTGGGGTTCTCTGTGTCCTGCGATCTCATTTCCTTGGGTACTTTTATTCTATCTACTGGCTGCCTTGAGGACTCCTTGGTGAAATTCAACTCCAGATAGCTTTTGCTTTGCATTTCTCCTGAAAGACGTTTGAGGCCATCTAAGCCTGTCTTGAAAGTAATGGGATGTATGTCTTCTGCAGAAGTCATTTGAAGTTCAGCTTTCACTTTGCTTTATTTAAGCAACCCTTAGTAATTTTCTTCATTTTCCTCCTAGGAAACCTCATACAATATCATTTAATTTTTCCGTTTGGAAGGTGGAGGAAAAGATCCTTTTTTCTTTAGCTTTTCCTCTTTAATATTTTTGTTAAAATTAGTGGAGATGATCCGTTAGCTGTTAGAACAGCTGTTAGCTTTATTTGGGTAATGAACATTTCTAAACGACATTTGTCATTTGCTTGAGACATAGATTTTTATTTTCTTTACCAAGAGGGAGTTTCAACCATGCTTATTTTGTGTGTGTGGGTTTTTTGTCTTTATTTTGCTTGGATTTTTTTTCTTTTTTGCTATTGTAAGTACTGACCTGATTCTTTGAAAGTAGAGGAAAGAAATTAAAGTGGATTTGAAAATATTTTCATTTCACAAATATGCATGACATTGGTGTCTGTTACACCTATGTTTGTCATCCGAAAGAAAAATAAGAAATAACCAATCATGTCTAATTTGGGAAAAAGTTTACCAAGTATAGAAAATTATGGAAGTACGTTAAATTTACAATTTGTATCCATTGTTTATTTCTTAAACAAGAAGATCTTGAATATTCTAGGAATGCATCCTCCTTTTCTTTGCATCTCCACAGAAGTTGGAGAGAGATCTAGGATTCTAAAATATATAGGCCAAAGGTTTGTCGTAAGGAGAAGCACTGGACTAGGAAGAAGGGGGTCTAAATTTTAAATATAGACTTGCTGACAACTAACATTCGACCTGGGCAAGGAATTTCACTTCGCGGACCTCAGCTTCCTTGCATGTAAAATGCTGCTGACTCAGTTGTTTTCTCAGACCTATTCAGCTCAAATACTTCGTTCTATTTTATTTCAAAGACCCATCGCACAGATTAACACAGTTTAAACTCTGTGTATGAAATTTCCTGCATTTCTCCAAGCCACAGATCTAAACACATGTGAACTTAATTAAATCCCCCAGGCTTTAGAGGGAAAGATTTCTGAAGATTTATTTATTTTTTCCAGTGTGGATTTGCTAACCATCTAGTACCACCTCAGCACTGGCTGAGGAGATAAAAACATAGAATCATTCCTTGATAGAGTTGATAATTGAACTGGAAACACCTAGAAAGTAATTACAAAGCAAAAAATGGACTAGTTACAACAAATGTATTATAAAATATAATAATAATTGATACTTATTAAGCACTTCCTTTTGCCAACACTACATTCATTTAATCCTCATCCCTAATCTCATAAGGTAAATGTTGTCATTACCCCAATTTACAGAGAAAACCGAGGCACTGAGAGGAATTAAATGAATTATCTGAAGTTACTGTTCCATGCAAAGGATTTAGAGGGGATATTTTACTTGCCTTAGAATCCCTGGGGTTCCCTCTTGGATAAGTGGGTTTAAGTATTGAGAAAAAGTAGGAGGGTAGTTTGGGGATTGGAGGATTGCTTTTTACTTTCTAAGGAGACTTGATTTTGATTAAAAGGCAAAAAAAAAAAAAAAACCCTTTTTCTTAATTTGGCAGCTGGTATTTTTTAATATCATTTATTGTAAATTTGTATATTTTTTGCACGTAGCATAAATTTTAAGCAGCCTAGAAATGGAGAGTCTTAACGTGAGAAAGCTTATTTCAGGAGAAAACAATAATCACATGATTGTGTGCTTTGGAGAAAACAGTCCAAAAAAGAACTAAAATTGGGTCAAGTGTTGAGAATTGCTCAGCACTTCTGGTAGTGACTGCCCAGAGCAGTTGGGATTGGGGGTGGGGGTGTGCTGGGTATAATCGGGGCAGGTTTTTTCCCTTTGGTGGCATCTCATGTCTTATTTCTGTCCTTTCCACTTGCAGAGGAGTTGCTCCACATTGTGATCTCTGTGGTGGGAAAAGGCACAGTTCTTCCCCTGTGTGTGTTCACCGGAGGGTCTCAGGGACGTGGCACTGGTGGTCCTCATGGCAGGTGCTACCAAACCTGTGTTTATACAGGCTCTGGGGTGTTAAGAATGTCAGGAAAGTGAGCCAGCTGTGGGGGTACCAGCCATGCCTTCATCCAGCCAGGGACTTGCAAACATTGTTACAATAGACAACCTGGCCCAGAAAAGAAGAAAAAGCCTTCCTGCCCTGGGTCCCTCTCTCCATGCTGAGGAGTCGGCTGCTGCTTGTGTAAGCACAACTGTTCCTCCTCCCGTCCTGCTGCTCTGCGGCTGAGAGGAAGAGGGAGCTGCCTGGTGGCCTCACAGCCTACCCTCTGCTGGTGAGTTCCCAGGACCCAGCATCCCGCAGGCTGCCGCTCCTCTGCCAGGGAGATGGAGCAGCTCCCGGCCCTCCTTGATTAGGAATTGTCAGGGTTGTCAGGGCAACTGTTAACGGCAGCGTATCATATTTTCCCCTCTGCTGTGTGCTGAATATTTTACTGTGCGGTAGCAAGAAGAAGATTGGGAAAAGGTGCTGCTGCAGGAAGGAGAAGCTGGGATCTGATTGAACAGGTTAGGCAGCGGAGGGAGGCATCTGACCCTGAGTGCCTTTAATAGGACTTTTGTGGAGGGGAGGCGGACGTGTGTGTGCGCGCAGGAGTGTGTGTGTGCATATGCATGCATGCGTGCCTGCACTCACCAGCGCGTGTGCCTGTGGGGGAGTAAGCGGGAGGAGGTTGGTAGGGGAGGTGGGGGGGCTGCTGCTAGGTGAGGGGGACTGCAGGGCCTCAGTTGCCAAGTGGCTGGTAGTATCTGTCAGCTGTTTGCAAACTGTTTACCCATAGGAGATCTATTACAAGTGCTCAAATGAGCCGGCAGCTCAGGAGCTAGCAGCTTCCTGGGAGCTGCAATTACATAAGCATATATTTTTAATATAATAATAATTAAAAAAACAAGTAGCAGCGGTATGCCTGGATCAGCTACAGCTATCCGACAAGAGAGACTGAAGAAGACCAATGCAAGGCCAATTCCCCTTGGTTTATTCACCATTAATGAGGAAGATGAACAGCAAAAGAATGGAAATTCCGGAAGACAGAAAGGTACGCGTTAGCTCTGCCCTTTGGTGGGAGCTGGATCCAGCCCTTGTTTCCCACATTGCCTGCAGCACATTTTACAAACCGTACCCGTAGTGCATGCTGTGGGAGCGCCTGTGACCTCCTAGCACAGTTTGCTGGTGGTGTTTACCTACTCGGTAGGGCTCTGTGTGCATGAAATGGGGAACAGTTTTCACAGATTTGGAAGATTTCAGATCAGTTACCTTTTTCGACTCAAGCTACTTTCTTGGCCTAGATATCTTTAGTTTTCTCGTGCTCACTTACACAATGACCAGTGACTCTGTCCTCATCAGGAGGAAGAAATATGAGTTATCAAGATTTAAATGAACATCTTCCCACCTTCCTTAGGTGCATCAGATAATTTCTATTTAATGAAGTGAGCTTTTCCTTAAGAGTTACGAGTTAAAGTGGCCTAAGAGTGCAGCCTTTCCATAGCCAGAAGATCAGGATGCCACTTCTTTTTCTAGACTGAAATGCTGACGGTAAAGAGAAGGAAAGCAAACACTGAAGGGGAACACAGAGGGCAAAGCTAGGGAACGTGGAGGGGACCATGAGGTTTGATAACTTCTGATGATAACTTTACTACTGAACGTTTGGATAGTGACTGAAACGTGTGAGGTACAGAAAAGGGAAGTCTGCTCCTTGTTCTTTCATCGTGGTGAAATGAGGCAGCAGCTTGCCAGGCTTCTTGAGTCCCTGTGCACTGTATCTTCTTCAGCGTTGTCTCATAGCCGCCCTCCCGGGGCTGTAATCATCAGCCAGAGACGGCAACATCATGCATTTTTGAAGGGCTTTAAGGCATGCATAGTTTTCCAGCATCCTAAGTCTTGCCGCCCTCTTCCCAAAAATGTATAAGCTGATCTTTCTCTTAAGCAGATGGGTTATGAATTTTGTTGTTTTTATGTGCCGATTAAATTTTAGCTTGCTTTCGAAATTGTACCGTCACTGAGATATCAAATTTTCCTCAGTGTGGTACAGAGAGGTAGCATGGCAAGGTAGCAAGCACATGTTTAAGCAGTGATAGAATGAATGTTTAAATAGAATCTGGTGTCTGAGGACTACTTGTTTTCTTTTTCCTGGTTCTTGAATGAAACTTAGTGTACTTTTATTAAATATAATTGAAACTGTCTAAATCATATTTTTATTTCATTTTTAAAAGACTGGTCCAGAAAAGAAAAGGGAAGTTCTAATAAGTAGACTTTTACTACTGTAGTAAGATTTTTATTTATTGTTGGACATGGCTTCTATCTGAGGACCAAATGACCTCAGAAATCTAATAATGCTGTGAATGGAAGGTGACTTATGTGATCCTTTTATTTGCCCATAAATTAGGTAATTGAACCAGAGTGTGTTGCTCTTGATGAAAACTCAGTACTTTAAATTGTTAGTAGCAAATCATTTGGCCTCTGAAAAGTTGATAACTTTTAAAATTAATGTGGATTCGTTGAATTGTTCCCATAGTGTATTTTTGGAAGCATTCCTGATTTGTGCAACTTTCCTTGGGTGTCCTGGAGCAGTAATTTAGGATAGCCATCTATTTTGTTCTTAATAATTTTCTGGAATTCCTCTTCCTGTTGTCTTCTGTTGTTTTGGGTTTTTATTGTTGTTGTTTTCAGGTGCCTTTTAGTATTTTGTTTAAAAGGAAGGGAAGGAGGAGAAGGTGCTTCTAAACATCTATTTTTGACAATTTATGCAACTTCTTGGATAAGAGAGACTTAAATCAAGGAGTTTCCACTCCTCTACCATTTTTCTCTTTCTATCCCTGCCTGTGTTCAATAAAATAGGCAGATAACCCTGGGTACCTCTAATTATGCCTGATGAATAAAACCACTGGCTTTGACTCTGAGGTTCTCATCTGGCCTATCTGAGCTATCGAAATGTTTACCTTCTAGTTCGGCTCTGTTCAATAGAAAAATGATAGAAATGGTCTGAGTCTGCACTGTCCAATATGATAGCCATCAGCCACGTGTGGCTACTGACCACTTGAAATATGGCTAGTATAGCTGAGAAACTGATTTTTAAATTTTAGTTAATTTTAGTTAATTTAAATTTAAATAGCCACATGTGGCTACCTTTTTGGACAACACAGTTCTAGTCTGTAGAGCGGTGACCTTCTAAACTTGCATCCTCTCTGTTTATCCTGTTGCTTCCTGGTGCCGGATATGGTTGGTCTTGAAATGAATGTGGTTGTTAAGAAGGGCATCATGGAACAGACAGCCTCTTCACAGCAAGGGAGCACGGTAACCTGGATTTACAGACAATTTCATTTTTCCTTTTCCACTTACATGTTATTGACCTGTTCTGAATATTATTCTTACTAGTCACTAGTTCCCTGTACCATCTTTTGCAACTTCTAATGGACTCTTAATTTCTAAATTATAAATCCAAAGCATCATAGCAAGATGACATACAAGTTATCATTTATGTGTGACTATTATGATAAACAGTCAAAAACTTTGTTTTTCCTACCTACTCCATGGCCCGATCAGCCAACTATGTCTAATCCTGGTGTCCAAACCAGGCTTTCATGCTTAATATCTTTTTTCTGTCATTACCAGTAATAAAGAAGCTTGTTATCCTCAATTTAATGAGCTGAAGGGGAGCTTCTGTACAGGATTACCTTGGGTTAATGAGGAGTGTACTATCTTTTCAGGTACTCGTACTGTTGGGTAACCATCATAATGAACTCAGTAAGAATGAACGTGGTGATTACCATCTGCACTCCTGAATGGTGGCTTCAGAGTTATCTGGTGGGGTGACAATTGTTTGTTTAGATGGTAGACTAGATTAATTCTTGAACGAGTGATTACTCTCCCATGTAATCAGTAGGGCTATAATGCTTTACTATTATTATTATGCCTTACTATTACTATAATGCCTTACTATTATTAACACATAGTAATTAAAATAGTCATTGGGAATGAGCTGGGCTAATGCTGTTTCTCTTATACCTTAGAACCTTGAGCCTCCCTGTAATGGTGACCTCAGCACTGGTTTAAGAGAAATCGTTTAGGAACTGTAGTAACTAAATGCTCTTGGATAGGTTTCAAGGTGAACTTGCCTTATGATGAATTTTGCTGAGCATAGTTTGATTATTAAGTAATAAGACATTTTCTCCTAAACCAACATTTTTTTAATGCTCATTCTGTGGCAGATTACTCTGCTAGGATACTGAGGAAGTGCCGTGAAAATAATTGACATGGTTTCTGCTCTCAGAAGTGTTAACTGTCTAGTGGAGGAAGATAAGTGTGTACAAATAATGCAAGAATATAAACTGAAATCAGGGGAAAGGGAAAGAGGATAGGAGTGGAAGAAATGTTAAATATGTGCCAACTATATGCTCTTACCCTCAGGATTCCAATCTGGAACAGGGGGTTTAAGGGATATAGCCTCCCGTCCTATCCTATCCCAAATGTCTGGATGAAGTTGGAAGCTTATACAGGCCTTAAGGCGAGAACATAGGAAGATTGGTGGAGAGCTTCTTTTATTTATTTAATTGTTTTATTTTTTACTTTTAGAGACAGGGTCTCACTCTGTCACCCAGGCTGGAGTATAATGGCACCCATCATAGCTCACTGCAGCCTTGAACTCCTGGGCTCAAGCCATCCTCCCACCTCAGCCTCCTAAGTTGCTGGGACTACCACGTCTGGCCTGTTTTTTATATCAAACTCGATTGATATCCAGCCTCAGTACTATATTTACTCATGAGACTCAACTCCAAATGAGTTTATTTTATCAAAATTATCATCACCCTCAAAAGATGACTCATCACTCACTAGGCAGATCATGGCTAGCCTGCTTTCAGTCTTGCCTCTTTCCAGCCCGTCTGCCATAGTGTTGCCACTGAGACATCTCTCCAGTGGGAAGATCTGCCCCATCACTTGCCTTTGAAAACTTCCCAGTGGTATTGCTTCACCTGAAACAGAGGTCTCAACTGGGGGTCCTAGAGCCCCACTATAGGTATGCGTTTTTTTTAATGAGCCAACATTTAGAAACTGGGAGATTTTTCATAATAATCTGGATTACAGCTTCCCTTGAAAAATCAGAAGATACCACCCCCTTTGGCCCATGCTTCTTCATGGCAGCAATCAGCTGGAGCTAAGCAGCAGCTGCCACAGTAGGTGGGCCATGTATTACCCGGCTGGCCTCAGTTATCTGCATTACCATGGTCATTTGCTTCTGTGACCCCTGACCTAAGGAATGAGTCCAAGCCCCTTAGCATGGCTGCCAGATTACTTACCGTCTGGTCCCTTTCTCCCTCTCTACCCTCTCTCCTGTTACTCTTTGAACTTCATGCTTCAGGAGCACCAGAATGCTTACATTTCCCTGCTCCTCCATGCTTTTGTATGCCTCTGCGTCCTGCTCTGGTCTTCAGTCCACTTTCTTCACCTTATATCTGGATGACTCTGACTCTTCCTTTAGAATCAGATCAGGTGTCATTTCCAGACTCACTTTGGATGCCATCTTTAGGAAACCTCTCTCACCCTGGCCTCCCTATTCCTGGCACAGGAGGACAGCCATCATGGTGCTCCTTAGGCATAGCCTAAGTCCTGTCTGTACTTCAGTCCTGACACTTATCTCAGTGTAACGAAATTGTCCACGCTCCCAGGCCATGCCCTTCTCTAGACTGTAAGCTTTCTAAGGGCTGGGACTCCTGCCTTTTATACCCTGTACCTTGTAGAGTACGTGGAATGTTACCGAAGGAAGGTAAAGTTAACATTTAAAAATAACTTTTGTTCGGGCGTGGTGGCTCACGCCTGTAATCCTAGCACTCTGGGAGGCCAAGGCAGGAGGATCTCTTGAGGTCAGGAATTTGAGACCAGCCTGAGCAAGAGCAAGACCCCATCTCTACTAAAATAGAAAAAATTGGCGGGGTGTGGTGACATGTGCCTGTAGTCCCAGCTACTCGGGAGGCTAAGGCAGGAGGATTATTTGAGCCCAAGAGTTTGAGGTTGCAGTGAGCTATGATGATGCTGCTGCACTCT